CACTATGCTTTGTCAATAAAACTGTGCTTCTTTCCCTTGAGCGTAACTCACTTTTACACTCTTTAGGTATCTCCATCTCCCCGTTCTCATAATCTCCTTTTCCTTTCCATGCGGGGCCATGCCACCACATCTGGCATTGTTGTAGCTCCTGAGCTGCCAAGCCTCTTGAGGGGATGTCTGCTGGGTTATCTTGACTAATGCAGTGATACCAAAATTCTGAAGGAATTCTTTGTCTGATCTCTTGAACACGATTCCGTACGAAAGGTTTCCAAGCTTTGTCATGTCCCTTGATCCAGTGCATTGTTATCTCTGAGTCAGTGTAGCAGATAGTTTGCTCCATATCAAATGTCTTCATCATTACTTCTTGTACTGTTGTAACCAATCGTGATAGAAGAACTGCCGATAATAGTTCTAATCGTGGAATGGTTTGCTTATGAAGTGGTGCAACTCTTGTCTTGGATGCAACCAGTGTCGAATGAGGCGCTACTTCAGACTGAACTACAAGATAAACCACTGCTGCATAAGCAGTAATTGAGGCGTCGCAAAATCCATAAAGACGTGCAGGTGGCTTAGAATCTTCTACTCCAGTTGTATAACACCTAGGTACTGTTATTGTATCAACTTGTGATAATCCTTCAACTAACAAATGCCATGTTTTTAACTGTTCACCTTTCAATACGTCATCCCAATCAACCTTGCTAACACACAGCTTCTGAAAAAATACCTTAAATTTGATGATGAGGGGGCTAAACAGTCCAAGCGGGTCAAAAAATTTACTTGTGACACTAATTACCTGACGTTTTGTTGGATGTATTTCCCTAGCTTCCTTTGCTAAGGTCTTAATCCTGAACACAAATAGATCCTTCTTTACATCCCACAAAACTCCTAACACTTTCGTTTCTCCTTTCACAGGCTCCACTGTTTTACCTATAGCTAATTTAGCATATGATTCCCCTTTGTCATTCTTTGCTCTTTCTTCCTGTAACTCAACTTTCTGCTGTAGTACTTCACTATTAGAGATAAATTTTCTAAGATTGAAACCTGCCTTGCTCAATAGTTGTTTTGCGGTGTAAAAAATTTCCTCTGTTGCTTCTTCAGTGTGAGCACCACTGACTATGTCGTCCACATATATCGCATCCATTAGCTTTGGTACTATCTCGGTGTACTCGTCCACAAACTGTTCCAAATGAGTACGCACTGTGGCATTTAGAAGAAAAGGACTACAGTTGACACCAAACATAACTCTGGTAAAACGAAAAACTGCTATATCTGATGGGTTGTCTAAGCTGGAGATCCATAAAAATCTTAGAACATCCCTATCCTGCGGTGCTACTGCAATATTCAGAAAAGCCTTTTCAATGTCAGCTGCAAATGCTACCTTGTGTGCTCTAAAAGTGATTAGAACATTGAAAATTTCCTGCTGCAATTTGGGTCCTGGCAGCAGACAATCATTTAATGAAGGACCATGTTGTTTTGCAGATGCATCATAGACTACCCTTAGTTTGGTGGTCTCTTTATCTTTCCTAATCACCGCATGATGCGGGAGATAGTGCACCCTGTCCCCTTGGATGACCTCTGGGTTGTCTACCTTCTCTACCATGCCATTGTCAACTTGTTCCTGAATGACCTTATGATATGCTTCAAATGTAATTGGATCTTGTTGTAGTCTCCTCAACAGAGATGTTAATCTCTTTAAACTAAGATTGTAGTTAGAAGGAATGTTTCTCAGTGGATCCTTCCACGGAAGTGATACTTCATACCGATCCCCAATAAATACGACATGATCCCTGAATTGGTCAAAAACCTGTTCCTCATTATCAATAATGCCAATGGATTCTAAATCCCAAAATCGCTGTAAAGCCTTGTCTAATTTC